TTTGCTCTCCACTGACTTGTCCTCTGCAGTTCCCAGTTGCAGTCCAGCTCCCGCTCTGCCTGGGTCCAGTAGCGGCTGTCAGTCCACAGGGCAGCCTTGTGCTGTGTCACCACGCTGGTGCCTGGGACAGGAATGGGAGCTCAGGAGTCACCTCTCCCCTTCTCCCTGCAGCCAGCAGGGGCCCTCAGGGATCCCCAAGGGAGTGGGACCATGCCCTCCCCAGGGGTGAGGGCCAGCCGGCAAGTGGGTGCCAGCCCCCCGAGCAGAGACATCATGGTTTGGGGAGTGCCCTCACCTGCAGAGCAAGTGAAGCCAGTGAGCAAGCCCAGCGGGGCATCCCGCTTGGCGATGTCGCTCTGGAGTCAGGATAGAGCTGTGAGAGGCAGCTGCAGGTACTGGTGGGGAGTGGATCCCCGGGGGCACAATGGGGCTCCTGCCTTACCATGTGGGCATCGGTGGAGGGCACAATGTAGGCATCGACTCCGTAGGCACGCATGGCACTCCGCAGCTCGGCCAGACGTGCTGTCGTGTCAGTGACTGTCGGGGGCAGGTACTGGTGGCATAGGGGGACATGCTGAGGGCTGGAGGGGTGACCCCATTCAGGGGGTCTCAGGAATGGGGAGAAGGGGCATGGCAGAGCTCACCGGTGGGTCTGTGGAGCAATTCCGGATGTCATTTCTGGTGGAAGGAGCCTGTGGCACCTGCCCTGCGGCACAGCCTGTGGGTGCGGCAACACCCAGAAGCCTCAGGCTGCAGCCTGGGTCCTTCTGGCCCCTTGATCTAGTCCAGAACTGCTCCAGGCAGGTGTGACCCTTGTCCCAAGCCCTAAGCACTGGCCAGCCCAGCTCTGGGCCTTTTTGCAAAACCCAGTGTTTTTACCCCTAGGAATGGTGGATGAAAAGCAATGCCATCACCCACCTCAAGAGGAAGTAAATCTGGTGCCCGTGGCACAGTAGAATGATCATGGGGCACGGCTGGTGCCCACAATACCCAGGAACAGGGAGGGGACTGGCAAGAGCCAGCTTGGACCATCCCAGTGCTGGGGCTGCCAGAAGAGCTGGCCAACAACAGGGCTGTGTCTGGCTGCACCTGACCTCTCCCCAGGGCTGCTCTGCACCAGGTGCCACTGCTGGCACTGCCACTCCTGGCACTGCCACTCCCTGGACTGTCCATCACCAGCTGGCACTTGGCTCTTCACCTTGGGCCAGGCCTACCTGGCGTGGGTCTGTGTGACACAGGGGTCACCCTCAGCATGGAGGGCCCTTGGGCACTTGGTCTCTGTATCCTGGGGGCTGCTCCTTACCTGTCACCTGCCCTGAGCCCATCGCTGGGTCAGGTGGGCAGGGTGAGCTCCTCACTGCAGCCCAGTTCCTGCCCTGGGGTGAACCCACCCCTGCTTCACCCAGAGCTGTGATTGGGACATCCTGCATCCTCTGTACCTGGCTCCTGGGAGTCCCAGGTGTGTCATCCCACCCCAGTGCCCAGCCCGCCCCTCCAGCATACCGTGGAGCAGGAGTGCCCAGGCTGTGATCCAGTGTGGGGGGCACATGGCTGCCCTGGAGGTGCCCAGCGGGACAGGGAGCTGCGGGGACACTGTGGGTGACAGGTCCTTCCTCTTGTGTCTTTGCCTCTGGGGGCAGAGAGATGCGAGGGACGAGCCCCAGCAGGGAGCAGGGACTGTTGTACTTTGAGTGGAAAGCAAATCCTGCTTCAAATAAAAGCAAACAGCAAAATCAGCACAAAGTCCAAAGATCCTGAGGGAGCAGAGGTAGGAGGGAGCATGCCAGCACAGCCTGGCATGGCTCATTGCCCGGGGAGAAGGCAGACAAAGATGGGCTGTGGGTGCTCTGCTCCCCAGGAATCCTCTGTGTCCTGGAGTCAGAGAGCTGACATGGTCTCTGAGGGACAGACAGCTGCACTCCAAGCAAGTCAGTCCCCCTAGCCATCCCTCCTCCTCCACAGGACACGGAGCCATGCAAAACATCCCCCTGGCATGGTGACATCCCCCAACCCGGTGCCCAGCAGCACCCTGAGGCTGGGGCTGGCAGAGACTGGGGGGAGCCAAGGGGTACTCCATCGCCATCAACAGCCATTACAGTCATCAGCTGGGGGCACAGTGCCTGTCCTCCTGGTAAGCAGGGCTGGCAGGACACCGGGAACACTGAGGACACCCACCCTGGTCTGTGGCTCCTGCAGCTGGTTGGGTGCTAGGAACACACACTGTTGTATTTCCCAACCATGGTGTGGCCTCTCATTTTTTTGATGTGGTTGTTTTCCCACTGCAGCTTTGGTAATGGAGTCGGTGATCCTGCACCAGCAGGGTTCTTACTCCGCAGAAACGCTGGTTGGCATAAAGCACCACATCAGCACCCATTCTGCTCTCACCCCAAACTGCTGCACCTCTCTGGCAAGGGACATGCAGCATCCAGCCAATATCCTCTGTGACATCCCTGAGCTCCCACAGATGTGGGCAAGGAGGTGGGAGAGGAGCAGGGATGGCATGGCAGCAGTCCTTGTGGGCTCCAGCCAGCTGTGGGTTCCCCCACCTGCAGATGGTCTGAGGGGTGGTGATGAGGGAAAACATCAAGTGCTCTGGAGAGGAGACAGATTTCACTGGGTCTCCCAAGCCTGAGGGAGCAGGCTAGGTGGCACCCAATATCCACCACAGGCACTCATCGCTGTAGGATCAGGGATGAATGCACTGCTGCTCCTACTGCTCTGCCCAGCCTCAGTCACAGAGCAGCGCAGGGACAATCTGAAATGATTTGTGTGTTGAATTGTAGGTGCCAGCCCAGGAGACATTGGCAGTCTGCCGGCATGGAGCAGCCATACATGGGCAGAGATATGTGTGGGGGAAGAAGAGGATGATGGCTGAGCCATGGAGGAGGGCACTGGCCCCTGTCCACAGCCTAGGACCTGCGGCCACTGCTGAGGTGGCACAGGCACTTGAGCTCCATGGGAGGATCCCTCTGGGATGTGCCCTTTGTCCTGTCAAACCCATCAGCTCTGCACCTTCACTCATCTGCCTTGCTAAAACCTCATTATGTTCGTCATAAGCAGCCTTGACCCTGAGGCCTGTCACTTTGATTGCACAGGTACTTCCTCCAGTGGCTTTAATGACTCAGGTGGTTGTGAGAAAGGCTGGATGAGGGACAGAGATGCTGTCACAGGCACTGGAGGTGTCCATCCCCAGCATGGACATGGACCTTCAGGGATGGATACACGTCTTCACCCAGGACAGATCATGGAATCGTGTAGTGGTTTGGGTTGGAAGGGATCTTAAAACCCACCTTGTCCCACCCTCTCAAGAGAGCTCAAGGTAACTGCCTCTTCCCAGGGGCACTTCATGGCCTGTTGGACAGACAGGTGTTAACCCGCCTAACTCAGGCGGTGACAGTCCAGCTGTGTCACTGCACCCTCCAGCTATGTCACCGCACCAACTGTCCAGCTGTGTCATCGCCTCATCTGGCTGTATCACCACCCAGTCCAGCTGTGTCACCACACTGACTGTCCAGCTGTGACACTGGGACCCTGCTCACCACGAGGTGGCACCAGGACTGCGCTGTGGAGCCACACAGGCTCCTGTCCCCTGTCCCGCTGTCCTCTCCTGTCCTCTGTCCCTGCCCACTCTGCAGCTCCGATAGCAGCTGGGTCGGGTGGTCCCACTACCATCCTGTCTCTCAGGCTGAGCTCTGGCAGGCTTGTCACGAATGATCCCAGGTGGTCTCTGTCTAGCATTGCCCTCCAGTCCCTCCCTCTCAGAGGACCCCAGGAGGGGGTGACAAGGGTCCCCTGCAGGTGCAGGACAGGGACAGGTGAGAGGCAGGACAGGGTGACCCCAAAGCTGCTGTGATTGTTATGACAGTTTCCCAAGGATGGGATGTGGTGCCGTGGGGATGGTCAAGCAGCACCCTACTGCCATCCTGCTCGTTAATGACACACACTAATGATGCTACATTCCCCTTGCTTGGTCCCTGCCCAAGGCCAGGGTAGGGGGCTGCACCCCTCATGATATGGCTGCACCACACTTCCACAGGGTCCAGTGACGGGGAGTCCATCCCTCCCTTATTTTGAGATGCTGAATTTCACTCTGCAATGCCATCATCCCCAGAGCCATCCCTGATGCCATCCCCAATGCCACCCCCCACCACATCCAAGAGATGATGCTGCAGTTATTCCATCCCCATGGGCAGAGTCTCTGCACATCCCTTCTCCTCCTCCTCTTCATCTGGCACAGTGGGTGGCACCAGCTGTCCCTGGGGACCCCCGGGGCCGCGTGCTGCTCTGAGCCAGCGTCAACAGGACGAAGCTCCTTGGCCGTTGCACGTCCGCGGGAGGTTTCCTCGAAGACGAGCCGGAGGAAGGCTTTGGGGGGACATCCTCCCTTTGTGGGCTATTGTTGGCCTTCCGTCACCTGCAGAGGCCGTGGGGTGACTCAGGCCGGGGTGACGCGCCCGGCAAACAGGACGTGGGGCGGGAGGG